ATTCAGCCCCAATGAAATGTTGAATACACAGCTATGAGCTTTACTTCCATGTACAGTCATACTGGACCTCACCAAGGACCTCCTCAACTCTACCTAGTACCTACATACTGGTTGAGAAACAATATATGGATTTGTGTCTTCAGTGGGGGTACAGTACTATGCTAGTGCTTTCATTAACTGGTCATCCAACTATTGCCAGGCCCATATGTAGGGACTTGAAAGAAGTCCCTTTGACCAATGATTATTGCAAACTTACTCAGTATTTGAGGATTTTTAGGAACTTTAATTTAAGTGTTAGAGTCCCCCTGGAAAAGTTTGGGAAATAAAGCATGTCAGTTTACATCATTTTTAGCTGTGTGAACGTATTGAATTCTCCATCAGTCCGTCCGTCCAGCTGGAAAGAAGCAGCAGATTATTAAGTGGCATCCGTTTGTCCGTCCGTCCTTCCATCGTCAACAGTTGTGGCACTAAGAGACAAATGCAATATCCATTCATATTTTGTTATGCACACAAGTGGCAAACCCTATACCGTACATGTATGTATATCCAGAATATCTCTTTGGAAATAAGTCACTTAATATCATGTATGGTACAGCAAAATAATCCGTTTAGGTGTATATAGCATCACTGTCATCTGAAGGTCCAATGTCATGGCCAAAGTAAAGAGTTACACTTGAAAAAAGGTCATTATTGTTTAAAATGTTAATTACCTGTGCAAAAATTGTTTACAGAGTTCGACACTTGTATATATTTTATGCACATAAGTAACTTTCTTTGGATAGGCCTACATTGCAACCAAATATTTATTGGTAAAAATTGCACGACATATCAAACACTGCTCAAGATCAAATGCTACCCTCCCAGGTCCACCGTAACCCTTGTATAAAAGTTCGAAATTTTATAACAATTTGATATTATAGTGAGTTATTCCACAATCTATGTGCTTTTGATACACATGAGCACTGGATCAGTGGTCGATATCTGATCGAGCAGTCTATCGCATCTTTCAAGTTGTAGTGTTAATCCCAAGAGGTTGATATTGACACGCGTAGTCCTCTCATCCAAAAATTTGATCTCGGGATTTCCTCAGGAAAAATAATGGTAAAATTCTTCAAAATAACATCAATGATGCAAAATATGTTAGGAATGTATAAACTACTCTCATAATACTTCAGTTAACGTGATAATATGAGGATATTGAGATTCTTTAGTGGAAACTTCGCGGTAACTTTCTGAATTATCAACTTTACATCGTATTTTATTCATTATGTAGGCATACTTTCCTATATTTTTGTCATATTTCTTCAATTAAGAGTATGCTATATGGTTTGCCACCCATATAAGATACATTAATATCTTAAATAAGTCAGTAGGTTCTTCCAAAAAAGTAAACCATGAGAAAGAAGTTGAGAAATAGCCAGATAGTCTCTTCAAATGCAGCCAGCGTAGTAATTTACTCGCGCTCTATGTGTAGGGTGGAGTGGGTCATAGTGAAATCTAAAAAATCTAATTGAAACCCAATCATCATTTCAGTTTAAATGCATGCAGGACATACATATGCAGTTTTCTAAACCTTAAAACGATGCTAGTTTTGCAGCAGAATTCGCTAGCATAGTATTCTTTGTGAACCAGCCCCCCCCTCCCCTCATCCCAATATCTTCACAAATTTTGACAATCAAATCCTGTTTAGAAACTAAAATACCTATAATTACCAAGAATTTTTACTGATGACATATACATTTATTCTGTCTGAAAAATTGGTGGTTATTCGCTGCATTGTTGTAAAATTATTAATAATTTTCAAGGTATACCCTACTTTTGTCACGTGGGAGGGGTGGTGGTGACGAAGGAGGGGTTATAAATATTGAGGGGGATAAACAAAATCATATAAACTGGTAACTGATACCAGATTCCTACATTCTGTTGAAATTGTGATAATACAGGCTATACAATTGAAGTTATCTACTGTTAAGTAGGTTTGATCATTCAGTTAAATACCACGCCCACTTTGGATTATTTAGAGGGGGTGGGTCATAGAAAAATATTTTAAAAATATTTCTGATTGAGACTAAATCATCATTCCAATTCTAATGCATGCAGGACATATATATGCAATTTTCTAGACCTTAAAACAATACTATTTTTGCAGAATAACTTGCTAACATAGGATTTTTTCGTTAACGAGCCCCCCAAAATAGACACAAATTAGCAAATTTTGACAATCAAATTATGTTTCCATAGCAACCATCATACCTATAATCACCAATTTTTTACCAGTTATCAATGACATATATGTGCATATATTCTGAAAAAATTGTAGTTATTCATAATGTTTTTGTAAAGTTATTAATTATTTTCTATGTACCCCCTACTTTTGTCGTGCGGGGGGTATAAATATTGATTTTTTCCCAAACGCTGTAAAATTTTGCTTAATTATTGCCAAATTGTGGTGAGAATTACAAATTAGGATGTAACTAGTATGGTCTCCAAAATTCTACCTCCATACCGCAATTTAAGGGCTAGCCCATCACCTATAAAGGTAAATATTCGGATTTCCATATGAATATTTACGATGAAATGTTAAAAGATCTTGAGAAAATAGGGATGACAAAGAACGATATTAGACATGTTAGGACGATATATTAGACAAAAATACTGAAGTCAGATTTGAACTTCTGAGAACTTGAAGCTGATTTTGAAAAAAATATTGGTCAATTTGAAGCAAGATGAAAGAAGACCTTTTTGACATTGAGAAGGTCTTTGGAGGTCAAATCCTTTTTGAACTTGAAAATGTCATTGAAGGTCAAATTTATATTCAGATTTGAACTTTTTGAGAACTTGAAGATAATTTTGAAAAAAAATTGGTCAATTTGAAGCAAGTTAAAAACACCTTTTTTAACCTATTTTGACCTTGAAAAGGTCATCGAAGGTCAAATCTTAATTCTAGAGTCAGATTTGAACTTCTGAAAACTTGTACCGTAGATGATTTTGAAAAAAAATTGTCAGTCTAAGTCAGTCTAACCAGTATTCGTATTTGTCGATTTTTGCCGATCGCCGACTGCCATCCGCCGATTTTTGGTGGTGATATAAAAACGGAATGTTTTTCGCGAAAGTCGCTCGTTCGATCTGAAGATGCAGGATTCTCAACTCGAAATAATAAATGTGGCTTTCCAAGTACTTTCTTCCCAGGACAGAAAACACTATTGCAAATTGAAATTCCAGCATGCGATTCACTACAGTTCATCAGAGTATAGTTCTAACAGTTCTAACATACTGTTCTATGCAAACAGGATACGTCCAATGTGCATCACATGTTAACAAGGTCTCAAAATGCTGAAATCCGAATTTAGAAACAAGATAATGACCCTAGTATACACGACATTTAGGATACTAAAATAACGATGTGATTTTTTTTTAATTTTCTGAACCTTTAACAATTATATTATAATTACTTATAAGCTAAATAAGGAATAAAGTGATAAGTTTTTCCAAGAAGAGCACCTGTATACTGATAACGTCTAAAATCTTTACAGATAAAGAAGTCTGTTTATTGTAATCTCTTTTGTACTCAATTCGCAGTGGCAGTTAAGCAAAAATATCCTTATTTTGGTCTGGTTGTAAGGGCATTGACTTAACTATCAAAACCAGACTAGGTTACATCTTAAACATCAAAAAATCACCTGGTTGTAAACTGGATTGTCATAACACATTTCCATGAAAAATTACATATTTCACATAAAAGTCCAAGTCCATTGCACTATAAAGGCTATTGTGAAAAACTTCAATCTCGCATTAAACGACTGAAAAACTAGAAGTTTCAAACTATTGTACCATTTACCTTAAAACTTTCGAATCAGTTAAGATCAAGAGATAAAACGTCTCAATGCATTTCACAAAACGTGCAATCGTCCTTTTCAACTTTTTCATGTGGATATTTTCGTTGATTACAAAAAGTTGCTTATTCTCATTAACAATGGAATTTTTTTTATAAAACAGGTTAATAATTTTTGGGTCGCAATTGAAGATGGCCAAAGGTACTTCGACCCTAACGAAGATTCTGAATTTCACACGGTCAGCTTCGGTTGCTTTGCATCTGTGCCTTCTCGCGTAAAACATTTTCTTGAAATGGCAATCTGCTACAGTAAGACTGACTTGAGTTTTTACTTTAAATCCGATGAATTATACTTTATTTTGTCAAAGCATATTTTGAGTAGTTAAATTTTCCAGCGGTAAAATTGCATTACACGAGGTCAAATTAAATCTATTGAAAATTCCAGAAAAACAGAACATTTCATTTTTAGTCTAGTCTATTAGTTTTTTCATTAAAATATTCATTATTCAATCATGGCTTCTTAGTCTCAACCAACAAAATTTTGTATTGTTAGTGTTTACTGTTCCAGGATTTCAGCTCAGGAATCAATGAATTGAAGGATGGTTCTATTTTGCAAAGTTTATTAGGCAAGATTGTCACAACTAGGTCAACACTACCATTTGACCTGCATAAGCACTTGTCTTGCTTTTTCTTATGATACTACTTTTAGATTTTCACTCAACTGCCATCTTGAAATTATGAATTTGATGAGGGTAATAAATTTCGCTGAATCTAAATAATAGCCCAGTGCTTGGTTGTAATTTCAAGAGTGCAGATTGTTTGAAATACTGTGTTCTGATTGGCTGGGATTTTATATATCAGTGTTCCATGGTCTATAAGTGCACTATTCAAATCCGTGACCGCTTTCTTAGGTCGGGTTGAACTGGTCACCTCATTCAACTTGTCAATTCTATCTACATTTATTTAAGTGCATTTTCATGCTTTGTGAAGAGTCAACAATGATGGAAACTGATTTTTTAATTATAACCTGTATATGAAGAAGTTTGTCTAATGAATTGCTCATTTATTTTGAAACTGATGAGTCCAACTTGATCAAACTTAGAAATTTTGATTCATAATTCCTTAATAATTAATTAATATGAAGATATTAAACAAAAAAAGTTTGATCTATGCTTACATTATTTATTCCACGTCCACTACAGGAAATAATACAAGAACAATCTGACAATGGACATGCCGATTTGAAAATCAAGGTCAATTCAACATAGACGAGGCTTAGTGTCAATACATATGGATGGCATAGAATATTTTCCATAGATAGAAAAAAACTCAAATGGAACTAAAATTGAAATTACCAGTATATGTCTGGATTTTTTTTGTAATAATAAATGACAATTTATAAACATAAGGCCTTGTGTTTACATGTCCACTGGAACACAATGTTTGTAAGTATATATGTCTGTTTATTCAGCAATATGCAAGCATATACAGTATACCTCCACTATATATACAAGGGCTCCTGCCTTGTACTCGCTCAATGAATTCGTGAAAATGTTTCTTTTAGATATTAAAATATGACCTCTGTTGTTATATTAAAACAAAATGAGTGTCAATTGAAATGACAAAAAGAAGCATAACGTTACTTAAAATTCCTTGTTATGCTTTTACTTTCTTCTTTTTCTTCTTGGGTGTTTTTACTTCAGCTTCCATTGAAACATCTCCATTTGAGACGACACTTTCATTTTGTTTGTCCTTCTTTTTCTTCTTCTTGGCCTTCTTGGCGTCTGGTTCTTCTGTTGTGTCATTCATAGTGTCATCCAAAGTTGTATCACCATTCGTTTCCGCAGTATCATCTAGCTTGCGTTTTTTATCTTTCTTTTTCTTCTTCTTTTCTTTCTTTGCTGACTTACTCGCATCAGCTGCCTGGAAAACATGAGAGTCTGAATGATAAGTGATGTAAAGAAGAAATGATGATGACATACAGGGAAACCATTTGTACTGTGTGCCCTAAGAATAAAGAAAACTTAAAAGAAAACCAGCAACACACATACTTGCTTACCAGTTTGATTAGCAATAATACTTCGGAAATGCAAGATGCAAGAACAAGGACACCTGGAATCATAATGAATCTTTTATATTCCTCCAACAATAAGCCAATGGCTGATTAAACATAGCCCAATGAGTTTTCTAATGTGCTTTATGCATATGTAAACCTCATTTGGATATAATAGTGAGGCATTATTTTAGAGATAAATTCATGTTGAAAGCATTTACGTTGAAATGTGGATGTTTTGTCTGTTGCAGAACACCTGTACAATAATATGGTAGCCAGCAAGCAGGTTTTGAAACCAAAAAATGTAACCATATAATAAGCCTGGTATTAGACAAAGCTGGTGAAAACCCCATACCAGCAGGCAGAAAACATACAATTTACTGTGAAAAAAGCAGGCGCAATTTGCTTCACAGGTGGTCAAAGGCCTGGTAAAAGAGTTCATATGATTTATTGATGTTTTGCATTTTTTTCAAATCACTAATAAATGGAGGATTTTTACTTATCCCAAATACTGTTTTGAGGATAATTGATGATAAGTTATATATGATATTAGCAGTACATGCAGTATGCTCTCAACTGATCATTGACCCAGAATTTGAATCATAAAAACAGCTGATGAATGTTCTGGAAACTGTCCATGCAACAGAGGCTAATGTTATTTAGCATATGGCAGTTATGTTATCATACATCTGTGCTGTATTAAACCTATTACCAACAAAGATGTTAAATATTACAGATAAACATGTAACACCAATATGAGGCACACTTTTTTTAAAGCAGTGCACTCACAAATTGATTTTTAACATGCTGCTAATGAAAGTATTATATAAGTGTAAAGAAACTACTTGCTATTATTTTTTACGAAGAGAACGCAAAGAGAAGTGGATAGAGAACAAGACACAGAGTATGGAACCCTTGAATAAAATAGACAGTTTTAAGACAGAAAATCTCAAATGGCCACATTAACATAAACATTTATCCAGAATGCACCAAAACGTATCAGTTGAAGAATTTCATACCAAGAAACTTCAGGTGAAATCATGAAAGGGTTTGGCTGAAAACCTGTAACAAGCCTCAACAGGCAAGATTTAAGGACGGAAAATCCAAAATGGTCACTTTAACATTTACCCAGAATGCACAAAAACTAATCAGTTCATGATTTCATATGTAGAATCATCCCTGAAAATTTGAAATCGATCCATCAACCTGAGTTTGCCAGGAAACAAGTAAACAAGATGTTAGGACAGAAAATCCAAAATGACCACCTTGACATATACCCAGAATGGCCAAAAACCTAATGAGTTTTAAACATTCGTACATAGAATAATCACCCCTGAAAATTTCAAATGATTCCCTCAAATGGTTTGACTGGAAACCTATAGATAAGCCTCAACAGACAAGATTTTAGGATGGAAAATCCAAAATGGCCACTTAAACTACCCAAAATCAATCTAGATTTAAAGAGAGAATCAGATATAGCAAGCAGGCTAAACAGAAAATTGTCTCAGTTTTAGAATATCTTTGGTTCATGTCATTCCTTGTCATGTCTATTTTCTAAAAATATATTATTTTTCTATAAGAATGGTTCTTATTATTTGGGAGAATTTAAACATTTTTCATCCATTTTTGCACTTTGAATCATTTATAACTTCACCAATTTATAACATACATGTATTGTGAATATTTTGGGAGATATTGTATTTGACATTGTAAGGAATAGATTGGTAGGTCAATTGTACACGTTGCTTGAAATTTTGTCACCCCCTATAGATCTGATTCTGCCTTTAATCTACCCAGAATGCCCAAAATCTATGTCAGAAACATCCCTGAAAATTTCAAATGATCCATGAAACAGTTTGGCTGGAAACCTGTAGACAAGCCTCGACAGACAGCATTTTAGGACGCAAAACTCAAAATGACCAACCGTACACTTACAAATTACCCAAAATGCCCAAAAATTAATAGTTTCTAAACTTTCAAATGCTGAAACATCCCTGAAAATTTCAGATGAATCCCTCAAACGGTTTGGCTGGAAACCTGTAATAGACAAGATTTATCGGGACACCCACTCGGCCAACTGTGGGTCCAGAAAGACAACTAGACACTGTTCAACCCTCTAATAACAAGACATATATGACAGGCTGAGGGTAATGCAGTGTTATTTTTCAATCCTCAGATTGGTGATTAATTATTACTATAAGAGGTCAGGTCAAAAAATCAACTCAACAAGGCATTAACATGCAAAATGTCAACACCTGCCATTTGTTACAGACAAGGACCGCTGTTCGAAACCCAAACACTGTCCACAATAAAGTTGAAGACTAAAACAATATGTCCTCACTTGTAGTGGTGACATAAAAGTGGTGGTGAGATCAAAATAAATAACTGCTGTCTACATTTGGTTGATTGGTGGTGTGAAATTTTTACAGATTTGTTTTCTTGAATGAGACATTTAAAATAATATGTCCAATAATGCACGTCCATATCATAATAGATAGTAGCTATTTAAATGTTTCAGTTTTGTTAAGTCATTTAAACACCAAGAAGGATTGGCAGCCAGAATGCAACATCCATATTTTCCAACAAAGCTTAGCTTCATTATTGCGACATTTATCTGGCTTTAAATTCACTATCAGCAATCAAAAGATTAATGTTAATATCTTGACCACTTCTTGTGTGTTTGAATTTTTCTTTCAGGTTACAAGACCGAAAATCATGATTCAAATTCTGATGTGAGGAATAATGAGAAATGGCGACTGTTAAAATTTTGAATTTTGTACAACGCAATTATGACACCATGACACCATATATGGCAGAATACTGGAATAACGCAAATGCGAGTAGGTAGTTACCAGTTTCACCACCAGGTGGCTCGCTCGGGTCAGATAGCATGGCGGGTATAGTAGAAAGTTCCCTTTAACTTAAATTACATCTGTTTTAGTGGTTCAATTTTCATATAGCCCTAATGTATCAAATAGTTATGCAAATTAAAGTATGTCCAGTAAAAGAAAATGTTATATGTCCAATACAAGAAAAGATATTACACTTTTTGTGATTTTTTAATATGGGGTCTATGGGGAATCAACCCGAACTAGAAGTCACATTTTCAAAACAGATTAAATTTTCAAAGTTGATAAACAATTTTCGAAACCATATTTTTAGATGTATTTTTACATGTAGATTTCAAATATGACATCGCTTTGACTGAATTTTGAATATTTAATGACGTAAATCAAGATCATTTCTACTCGCATCTAGTCTATTGCATTCTGGGATCCCATTCTCCTTGTTTAAACACTGCATTTTTTTCTCGTTACATGCATTTTAGGTAAGAGATCTAATTTACCTACAACTTACAAGTCAGAGAAAATCATCACGATTTTCACGCGCTACACTGTATTCACCATTTACAGTGATAGCATTAGGACCAGTCCATACATTTTAAACCCTTAAAAAATATAAGGCTCAAAAGCTATTTGATTGAACTAGGAATTGTGAAAAGTGTATACAAAATGTGTCCTTACCAGAACCATGGCTTCTTTCATCACATCAATATTCTTCTTAGGAGCTTCACCGGTCTCATAGAACTTCAACCGATCTTCAACCTGGTCTTTCAAGTGTTCACCAAAAATGGCAGAGGGTGTTTCTGAAATACAATTCATTGGGTAATGATATACATTTCTAAGTGTTTATTTGAGATTCATGTTCTTGTATGGACGAGAATGTCCTATTCAGATTCAGTGACAAATCTAGTATGACTTTTGACACAAGTGTGGAGTGTCCTTTTTCAAATATGCCTATCCCCAGAAAAAAGAAAACCCTTACCAGAGAAGCAATCAATCCTAGATGCGATGGAACACTTATTTGCCAGATATCGGGAGATGCGACCCTTATTCTTCGACCCAGCACGACCAATGAAAGTGGAATGGAATATAAGTCCATACTTTGGAGTATTTCCTTTAGTTTTCAATGCTCTGAAATAAAATACAAATGTATTTTAACATATATTGATGTAAATCGATCAACATTGCTAGATACAGACTTGATAGATTGGACTTTTTAGAATCAAAAGTTGTAACTGATTTTTGGGAAACAAATTTACATCCTATATTGAAAACCGTATATATGGTAGAAGTACATGTCCATACATCTCAAATTGGACTGAACAAGTCTCTCACCTGAAGAGGGCCTTCTCAGCACCAAGGATCTGCACTGTTGATGCTGGGTACTTAGCAAGGTTAGTGAGACTGCCAGCATGGGAAATAAGCCTCGCTCCTACCTAAAATCAACAAACAAGAAGAGTTTAGTATAGATGTACAAAATATTAAAGAATGCTGATGGCTTACACATAAGTCTTTCAAATACACCGCCATGAACAATTGAAAATCAGATTTTGATGAAGTATTGGCCTTGTAACTTCTACCAAGAGAGGATATAATTTTTTATACAATGACTAGCGATAGGTATTTCTTTGTAATGTGCATCGGAAAAACTAGAGCCATATATATTAACCAAACCTCAACATACCATGAGGAATTGAGGATCCACACTGAGCTAAACATATAACCAAGCTTGTTAATACATTTATCCTTGTGGCTCAGCCATGATTGTGATACAGCCAAGTGAGCTAAAGTTAATGCCTGTGTACAGCTCTAACACCCCAAAGCAGCAATAAAAGACAGTGTTTCAACTTGAACACTTGGTTTTGAAAAACAACACACTGGCTAGCAGAGTATTATAATGCTTGACTTGTACAACACCCAAAAGGTCAAAAAAATCTTGCAAGTCGCAAAATCTCAAAAATATTGTACAAAATGTAACAGGTAGCATTATATAAGCAGTTTATCAAATGGAGTCCAAGGAATCATGAAAGACCATGGCTTTCAATTAGTCTCTCAATAATAATTTGCAAGACAGAGCTGGCCTGAGTATCAGAATGAGTAAAGGGCAGCCTTATCACATACCTGTTCTCCAATGAGTGCCGACAAGTTGGGAGCAACCTGGCTCATTCTGCCCTGAAGGTATGTGAACAAAGACTTGCGATACTTGGCTAGGTCAATCACACGATCTGCAAACCTTTCAATGTTGTCCAAGTCAAACTGGGCAATATCCATACCTAGGAATACGGAAATCATGGTAATTTTGGCAGATAACATAATTTGGTAGGGAACAAAAAGACTTTCAATGGCTAAGGGTGGACAGAAATTTTCGATTTTTAACAGCAGCCAAAAGTTCTAATGCTGAGAAGATCATTGATGTTACCATGGTTACATAACATGTGTTCATATTTTAAAGTTAAACAAAACTGGACCAAAAAGACTTATCTTGTGATCAAAATATGTAAATATATATTTTTTATCTAATCCAGTGAAACTGTGTTTTATTCAGACAACATCTTTATATTTAGGTATAAAGTTGACAACTTGGGTTAAGAGCTAAGTTAAAGGAAGAAGAAGGGAGAGTATAAAATGTTGGACATAATCTTTCAAAAATCATGCAAATGTTTTCAATATAATTGTATTTTCAATTTTTTTCAAAATTTTATCAAAAACAGAAGCTACTGAAGAATAAATCAGCAAAAATCTCCAAATTCACTTGTTTTATAAAGTCTGCTTACCCATTGATGATCTTGAAGCATCTAGAACTGCCTGTGCTTTAGCACTGTCCATTGTAACTTCTTCAAGGGCCTCAAGTTTACTCTCATCAAGTGTCTTACGGTCAGCAATGAGGCGAACTGCCTGTGCATACATGTAGTTCTCAGGAATAATCTTGATGAGCTCTGGGAAATGGTATGAGTACCACTCTCTAAAACAGTAATGGTTTGTGTCAAAACTGTCGATACAACTTTCATAGCATTCTTAGTAATTATGGTTCATTCATATTAAATCTGATTGTTTGAAAACAGCTTCACAAAACTGTTTTAATAAAAATTAAATAACATTGATAGAGAAGAAAACATAATTTCCAAAATACCTTGTACAGGACAGGACAACAATAATTCTGGAGTAAAACACGAAAAATTTGAACTTCTTGAACACTAATGTAGTCCTAAGGTTAAGGCCTACCTGATTCTCATAGCAAATGTGTTGATGTCTTTATCCAGTTGATCCAGCAAACTGATACTCTGTATGATCATATTGTCTGCCCTGTGAACATTGAACTTTACTTTGGCTCTTGAGTAACTGTGACCAAGACCGAGCTGGGCCTTACTCTGGGCGACATCATTCAGACCTTTGATCAGGTTTGGAAAATGCATGCGGATACCTGAAATCATATGGAGTCACATTGAGTTCATTATTCACATTGTTCTGTGACAACAGTAGTTAACTTTGCAAAATTTTGCAATATGTCATATGTTTGAAAACTTGTTAAACAAGAGTCAAAATTTGGCAGTTGATGTATAGATAAATAAAAAATATAGGAATATCCTATGGTTTTGAAAAAATATCATTTATATCGGACCATCCATGAGTGGATATTGATATCTTCATGAGTGAGCGCAGCAAATGAGTGAAGATATTTGTATCCATGAGTGGATATAATTGATATTTTTGAAAAACCATAGGATTGTCCGTTAATCCCATGGGATATGATATTCGATAGTTTAAAAGTGATATTCAATGGTTTGTGAATTTTTTGCTAAAATATGATATCTTGATCCACATATCAAATATATATTCGTGTTATATTCGATCTATATCCTTGCAACCATGGGATAACATGAAATACATCAATAAAAAATATCAAGGACATTTCAAAATTATACCCTCTAAATAACTCTTGAACATAAAAATAATCTTGATAAGAGGAGAGATCTTTCAAAGAAGCTATTCTAGCTTTAACTGTTTCTGAAAAATAGTTCAAATATGTATTTCTTCGGTGATGACAAAGTTGTAGTTAATTCTCTATATTACCTCTCAGCACTTCAGGTACAACACCTATATGTGAAGCATTGAGTCCCAGAGTCTCATTAATGGCACCTGCCAGCTTAGGGTCCATTACACCAAGTTGTACCTTGCTCTTCTTACCAGTGATGTTAGACTCTAAGAACAACTTCAAGTCATCATGTAACACCCCTGTAACAGAAATATATATGTTCAACTTACAGTGCAATGCAAATGAGTTAATCAAGGGAGCTCAGCCTACTCAAATTCATTACATCTAGACTAAAGTGACTGTGTTTAACTTTATGTTCCAGCATCCAAGGCTCTTCGTGAACCTGAATGTTGTTTATTTGTATAGCTGACTAGAGAGGACTGTTTCAGAGTTTCTATAGTTAAAAAGACACCAAATGTTGCCACATAAAACAAAGTCCTCACCTAAATGACGATGTTGAGAATGATATGATAATGATTAAAATATCTGTTTATAAAACCTATTTATAAAACATATTTATTAAAAATGATGCATCATGATATGAAAATTTTGAACTTACCTTCACTGATGCTATTGATATTGTCGAGAGCATTTGCACCACTTTTAAATGGAGAAAATGCCACCAGTTTTACAATGGAGTTGAATTTACTCAGATCTTTCACACTTTCTTCAACTTCTGGTTGGAGCATAGAGATTTCTTCAAATTCTTTCACCTTGAACAATGCATACCCAGATGCATGCTCAAAAAGCATGTGCAATACTTTAGGCTGAAATGAAAAATTCAGAATTTATTAGACACTGATCATACTTTTGATTGCCCAGCCGAGCTGGTTTTAATTATTATAGATTCGACTGGTTTTATATGTTAAAATAAAATAATGTTAGTAATGTCGGTTACATATTGAAATAACTTTTAGTTTAAATGTGGTCTGAGATAACATTTCTTATATGTTTCATCGGAAATCCTGAACTTCCGGTTTGTGATTTACCATCAAGATTCAAGCTACATTTACAATTAACTGACAATCATCTAAATAATTGATTTGATTTGCCCAAAAATTCATTTGAAATCTTAATGTAATTGATCGTAATTAGTATCCACAGCATCGCCAAAACAAGAGTGATGTGGTCCACATAGAATTGGAAGTGGAGTGAGTTCGATTTAACAGATAAGGAAGCCAATATAAAATGTGATGAACAAAAGTGGGTCAAAGGATCAATCTCAATTGTGTGTGATAATTGGTTAAGTGACAAATCTTCAAAACTGAATGGAATCCGAATGCAATTAAACATTTTCCCAATGTCTACCTTGATTTCTTAGGGGACTCACACTCGATTTTTTATACATGTGTCACATTCTCAGAGCTGTAGTGTAATGAGCCAGATACTAAAGCCAAAAGGGAGTCTGCTAAATTCAACGCCCAGTGCAGGAATAGCAAACACAGGACCTTCTGCTCTCGAGGTAGACGTTCTACCTATTTAGCCGAAGAGTCTAGCCACTACAGCAGACACTGTAATGGCGACTTGCTATCGAAGGTCATTACACCTATAGCCTATATTAGCAAAACGTTTGCTTCATTTGTGCATTCTGTCCTTGAGATAAGAGTCTTAGGCATATATAGGTGAATTTGTTCAGGAAGGAACACTCTATTTATTTTGAAAAAGAAATTCTTATTTATTTCTTTTTAGACCATACACATGTTCAAGGAGCAATATGGAAAACTTGATATTCCCAGTCTTTTTTAAGGTCAGGGTGCATGATGGGATATTTTCTGCATTGAGGGATTCAGAAAATTTCCTAACATGCACCCTGGCCTTAAAGGTCTCTTGGAAACACTTACTTTACTTCAATTGATGCTTAACATTCTAAAGTATCGTTTTTCTAACTATGATATCAGGCAATCCGGAGTGGAAGAGGAAGTATATTGACGAAAAATGTTGAAGAGTTCTTCAAGATCGCTTTTCAGAAAGTTGGGTAATGCCCATGTGCCAAATACAGTTTACGCCAATTACACTACCTCCAGACTCAAGATCGCGTGATATAGTCAGGAAAACGATACTTTAGAATGGAAAGCAACGATTGAAGTAGGATGTTTCCAAGATTTCTTTCATTTTTATAGAGGACTGGGAATATCAAGTTTTCCATAGCCATCAATCTAAAGATGGCTATGTGCAAATATAGTAAGCAATATGTTTGCCTATTCTATTCAGATTTGCAGTGGACCCAAGGCAGAGGACCTGTACAATGTACAGCTTCTAAACACCACTGTATTTTCATCTGCAAGTGAACACATAATGGAAAAAGAACTTTTCAAATTTACAACGATCATAAGGGCAATGTTTAGTTTTTGTTAACAGAGAAGTTACCCCAAACAATTCCTACAGTAGCAGAAGAAATGCCACGAAAATATTTTTAAAAATATTCAAATACGACAATACCGGAAACTGCACTAAATCAGCTTTATCTGACAAAAACAAGCAATATTTCTAGGTTGAATGTTATAAGAATGATATCCTCAGTGCACGACGCATACACAAATTGTATGCAATTGTAAAACAAAGCCTTATTTCACGAAAACAAATACTATTTTGAGACCATGTGTTTTACTCACCGCCATCTTTGATTAGTAGCGCCCTCTATAGGCCAATACTTGGGGATCGACTATTCTGAGTTGAAAACGGAATTAAATAATCGTTCGGGACTTCAGGCATAATCTCTCCTTCATGAGATAAAAGTATTATTGAATTTTGTTCTATGAATTAGGTATTTGTACAATTAACACTTGACAGATTTGAATTGTTCTTAATTAAAAAGAATTTTCAAAATGATCGGTAGTTTATATTTTACTTTAATAGGGAGTTCTGACTGTACCTTGGGACCTTCACAATGTACATCAAACCATTGGAAAGCTGAATTTAGTGTTTTTTAATCTCATATAACAAAATCGAATCAAGTGTTCAGGTGTAAAAGTGTAGGAGGTCCTATAAAATTATGGTCCTACTTTCCATTGATTTATACAATGTATGGTGACCTAAATACAACGCTTTCCCTTATCAATTGTATCGTATCCACAATCAGGGCCAGTAAGGGCCTTTAAGAAAGGGTAGCATAATCCCCATGGGACCATAATTTCTTTTACACAGGGATAGAACTTAAATAAATCATGAAATATCTTCGCAGGCTGTCAACATTACGTACACCTGACTTTTGTTTATGATATGAAATACATTATATTCTTACCACTTAAACAGGTGTAAAAGGGTAGGAAGTCCTATCAAATTATGGTCCTACTCTCCATTGATTTATATGGTGACAAATAAATACAACTCTTTCCCTTATTATCTTATACACAATCAGGGCCAGTAAGGGCCTTTAAAAAGGGGGACCATAATCCCTGGCGGACCATTATTTCTTTCACACCGGCCATGGACTTGGATATTGAATGACCATGGTTAAAATTTAAACCTAGAATTCAAAGAAGGTTTCTGATAGAACGGCCCTTCTTGTCCCACGAGGGCCCTTCTTGCCACATGACCACACAAAATCATTTTTTTCAAAAGTGAGGGCATATAAGCAATTCAAAAATTTAATCTCAGAGAACCAATGTCCCTTGTTAAAATAAGCATGGGTTGAGCGGACAGAAACCCAAGCAAAATATCTTTACAAGCTGTTAAAAATGAATGCTCTTGGTGTCCGTCTTTCCCCGCTGTTCCCCGCATCGAAGGTTTGACTTGGACTGTGATTTTAGGCTGTTTGCAGTTTTGTTTCCCTTCCTTGATGAAGCCTATTCTAGCTAGTGTTGCTATATCTTGCCTGTACGAGTATTCCTGATCTGATTAAATGATGATTTTCAATAATACTACAGTTTTACATAAGCTACATATACTCTTCTTAATCGGTGACAGCAACACTGGCGGATCGGGTGGGGGGGGGGGGCTTTGGGCCCGGCCCCCTTGGGAATAAAGTCCAAACAGTTTTTGGGCCAAAAAAGTCCTTAAAAACCCCCCAAAAATGGGCCTTTTTGGTCATTTCTGGGCCTTGTAAGACCTTATTTTTTAATTTCAGGCCAAATTTTAAAGAAATGGGCCTCAAAAATTTCAAAATTCGGGCCCACCAAAATTTCGCGGAACTTTTATGCTATGACACTTTTGAAATCAACCCCAATGGCTAGAACAAGGTTTAACCAATGTGGAAGTATAATTTGGTCTCGAAATCTTCGACAATCGCAGGCTTTTCTTGAGGTATCTTCGGTTGCAAGCCAAAAGTCGACACCCATACGATTATGGTTGTATTGTTTGTAAAACATGTTAAATATTGCACCATCTTTCCATAGCTAGCAACCACTCCCCGTACCATGTCTTAATAACTAGGCATTTCCATGCAAATTGTCACCACCATTTGTAACAGACGCCAACCGCCGTCACAAAAACGCCAGCAAAACGGAGACCATAACAATACAGTATGTCACCACATTGGTGGTGAAATAAAACTTGTAGTTTCATATGTTGAATCATATGCCGGAAATGCTTAGGATATATTTCTGTATTCCATACCTGACGAGGATCCGGGATTTATAAATCACATATCCCGCTCAAGCCGTTCTCCCATGTCTCCACTAGTGGTCGGACTCGCCTGAAAATCTCCACTCGAGTGGGCCATGAAAAACCACGATTATATTCGCGACAGATTAAGCAGAACATTACAACTATAAGCATGGAAATTGCGAATAGGAGAGACGAATCGCGAGTCAAGGTAAGGTGAAAACGAGTGAAAAATATTTTTTTTGGTAAAAATTTCAAATCGTGAGTTCAAGTTTTCAACTCGATCAATTGATTTTTAGGACAAATGCGAGTAAAAATCGAGTACACGAGTCAGTCTTCCAACCACTAGTCTCCACATATGATGACCATATATTCCACCCCGGGACTCATTTAACTATTTCAGCACTGCACTAAACAAGAGACAGAGGTGGCAAACGAACGGAGTGAACAAAATTTAAGATTTAAAACAAGTAATGTAGTACTTGGCCACTAATACTAAAGCCCGGTATACACCAATTGGGCAAGTTGGGACCTTTTGGGATTTTGCCCCATGAAGTCCGTGGGACTCCATGGAAGTCCGTGGGACTCCGTGGGATTTTGCCCCATCTTGCCCCACGAGGTCCCATGAAGTCCAACGTGGGACTCGATGGGGCAAAATCCCACGGAGTCCGATCGAGAATGAACATGTTCATTCTTTCCATGGGGCATCGTGGGATTTTCGATCATATGACGTGTTGTGTGAAGCCCCACATACACCAATGGGGCACGGTGGGATTTGATGGGGCTCCATGGGGCAAAGTCATCAAGGTCCCATGGGACAAAGCCATCAAGGTCCCATGGGACTTCGTGAGATTCGAAGGGGCAAATTGGGATTCGAAGGGGCAAATTGGGATTCGATGGGGTATATGTGACTCGATGGGGCAAGTGGGATTTTGCCCCATTGGTGTATACCGGGCTTAAGGGTAAACTCCGGCCCGTTGACGACCTGCACATTATTTCAAACCTCATCAGGTATGGCATACAACAGTTAAATGAGTTATGCACTGTCGGTTTTGATACAGGGAATATCCCCTGGGGTATACAATATATCTTCCCTTGGTCCCTAAGGGGCCTCGGGAAGATATATTGTACATCCCTCGGAATATTCCGATAATTTATCTCATGGAGTACAATTAACATAACGTGTTTAAAACATTGAAAAACTTTTTTTATAAAAGCATATATTTATTCCGTGCAAAAAAAGAAATCATCCTAATAAATATGCTCGGGAACTATTCAGACTTGCCAACCTCCCGTTTTTTTACGGGAATCTCCCGTAATTTTTTTGTTTTTCCGTAAAAAATACCAAACTCCCGTACCGTTTTCTCCCGTAAACTCCCGTGGCGTATTTCTAGACGTGTCGCAAAAAGGTGGCGCATTTGTTTTTTAAGGGTATCGCGTGAATGTAACTTTGATTCCCCGGAATATAAGATAATATTCTAATTAAAGTTATATATCATTTTAAAGCTGTTTCGATGAAGATTTTAGATCAACTACACTCCGTTCACATTTTTTGCGCGTTCGTTTTTAAAAAAGAGTTTTTTACCAAAACATCTGGCAAATATCCCATGTTGACACGTTACATTTTGAATTATTTTTCGTCTTTAAACGCTCATAACTCAAACAATATATGACTATTATACTTATTTTTCGTCTTGATAAAGGTAGATGGAAGTTTTATTTCAGAGGATGAATTTTAGTAAGCGTCCCATATTGTGACGTCATAGAGTCTGAATAATAGAATCTGTTGACAGCGACCTTTTTTGCTCATTTTTTGGTACCTTCAACTTTTCAGGTGTACATTAAACAAAAAATACGAGATCAATTTTTAATAAATCATACATGATTATTTTGCTCCTAAACTCTAGTTTATTAATAATTAGTTGATTTTGTTCACAAAAGTATGTGTTTTCTGTTGTATGTGGAAAAGTGGAGGACGAAAGGTTTTCAAAATTCATTAAAATAGGGCTAATTTACGCCATTCGCCTATTTTCAAGCACAGCAACACGTATATTTATTTCACCTAAAATATCAATTGATTCGTGTTTTATGATGCTCCTAGCCCATTAACAATATATATATGATATCAGAGTTATTCGTCTAAAATGTTTTGAGATATAGAGGTAAATGTGGAGGACGAAAGGATTTTCATGTGTGTACATTTTTCTCAAAAACGTCACATTCTATCATGAATCTCTTATCATGAATGTTAAAAGCGAGAATCCTCTGGATTACGCCACAAAATGTGTAACAACTGAACAATGCGTGCGCGAGCTTTTTGCGACCCGTCCTACTAAAATCTCCCGTAATTTTTTTTTAAAATATGGCCGTAAAATCTCCCGTATTTTGCTGAAATCTCCCGTATTCTGGTATAACTCCCGTAAAATCTCCCGTATTCTTGGTATAACTCCCGTAAAATCTCCCTTTTTCTGGTATAACTCCCGTAAAATCTCCCGTTTTCTGGTATAACTCCCGTAAAATCTCCCGTATTCTTGGTATAACTCCCGTAAAATCTGTCGAAATCTACCGTATTTAAAAGGAATTTGACAAAGGTGACCTTGATTATTGCAGGCACGCTTCTTTCTTTTACTCCAAGAAGGAATGGCTCACATGGTTCACTATCGATACTTTCATAAATAACTTAAAAATACTTCATTCCCATCATTCAAATTGCTTTTCTGCGATCAGTTCGGTATACGTTTGCACACCAAATGTCCACAAACGGGGGCCAGTTCATATTCTGTCATACTTCTGTCGGGAGAATACATTTTGTTTTTATATGGCGCTAAACAAAATATTCCCGCAATATAAGGCGCATTATGGGTAGGGACTGCTGTGAAATAATGAACGTAAGTGACATCTATCTTAGATTATAAGTTCTAATTAATTTATTAACTGCGCATGCGTCATATTAATTTCAACCAAATAAATAATACCGTAAAAACTCACGTTTTTTCAAAATCTACCGTAAAAACACCCCTTTTTCAGAAACCTACCGTAAGAATTCACGTTTTTTCCGGAATCTACCGTAAAACTCCCGTTCTTTCAAAATCTACCGTAAAAACTCAAGTTTTTTCAAAATCTAAAGTAAAAACTCCCATTTTTTCAGAAATCTACCGTAAAAACTCCCGTTTTTCAAAATCTACCGTAAAAACTCCCGTTTTTCCGAAATGTACGGTAAAAACTCCCGTTTTTTCAGAAATCTACCGTAAAAACTCCCGTTTTTTCAGAATCTACCGTAAAAACTCCCGTTTTTTCAGAAATCTACCGTAAAAACTCCCGTTTTTTCAGAAATCTACCGTAAAATAAAAATCCACCGTAAAATAAAAATCTACCGCAAAAACTCCCGTTTTTTCAAAACCTAACGTAAAAACTCCAGTTTTTTCAGAACCTACCGCAAAAACTCCTGTTTCTTCTGAAATCTTCCGTAAAAAAGTCACGTTTTTTAAAATTTACCGCGAAAAATACAATTTTTAAAAAATCTCCCGTTAAAACTCCCGTTTTTTCAAAATCTCCCGTAAAATCTCCCGTAAAAACTCCCGTTTTTTTTTAAATCTCCCGAAAAAACTACCGTTTTTTTCAAAAATCTCCCGTAAAAACTCCCGCTTTTTTCAAAAAACTCCCGTAAAAACTACCAAATTTTGAAAAAAATTCCCGTAAAAGTACCGTAATTTTTTTTAAATCTCCCGAAAAATTTTCATTTTAGGATGGCAAGTCTGTATATAATGCGTACCAATAAAATGCAACAACCTGTTATCTCGGAAAACCACAAAACCAGTGATAACAGCATTGATTTTATTCAATGTACCATAAAGCCATATGTCTTCTATTTCCAAGGGTATGTCATTCATTGACATTTGGTCATGGTTGGGTGAATAATCATTCCTTTTGCAAAGTGGGTCAAAATTAGCTTGGGACCAAGTTATAAACATCGCAAAAGTAAGTGCACGGGGCCTGGTACTGTGGAAGAATCATAAAACCAGTGACATACATAAGTGATGACTGCATTATTTTCATTCAATGTATCACAAAGCCACATTTCTTCTCTTCTAGTATTTATCATTCGTTCACATAAGTCATGGTTGGCCGAATAATAATTTCTTCCGCACAGTGAGGCAAAATCAGCTTGGGACCACGTTTTAAACATTTTAAAAGTCAGAGGACGGGGCAATGTGCTATTGGAAGAATGTGTGACATAGATAGTAAATTGTTCATACTCATACTCTTGCATCACATCCCATACCCCTAAATATGGCCACCACTTCTTAGCATACAGAGAGGGCACATCTCCGTGTCATGCATAGCTCAGTTCCCAGTCATCTGTGAGTTCGGGCGGAGAACAGCAGCCCCGTTGGCAATTCTTTCTCCCGAGATAGCTTCAAAAGAAAGTCTTAATTCAGGTCAGGAGAACTTCCATTAGCATTGCACTTACACTGGGGATAAACTGGAGACGAGGGAGGTTTTGCCTCGTATCAAAATGGCCGCTATCAAAAAGTAGCATTTGGTGAGATCATTTCTTTTCACAATTTTTGTGCTTTTGTCCTTAAAATTACAACTAAATATTTGGCAAGTAAGTGGTTGGTGAGTTACGGTTTCAGAATATAATTACGCCTTAGGAATTCATAGTAATTGCTTTGATATTTGCAAATCGATTCCCTAAGCTCACTTAGTTTTTCCCAAGTTAAACATACATGTATTCTTTCATTGAAAATGTGCCCGTTTCCTAAGCGAGAGAATTCATGTGTAAATATCTCAGCAATGACAGGATTGATTTCTAAGTTGTAATTATATTTTAAAACAGGAACTTACTAACTCTTTACCTGCAAAATATTTAGTTGTAGTTTTCAATGTAAAAGCACGAAAATCGTGATTTTTTTTGGTTTTACAAGATAACTGTTTGTTGCGTTTTCATACCGCCTGTTTATTCATAGCCTGCCCAGTATGATACAGAAATCATTATTTCAAAGTGTGAACCAATCTTAAGTTCAGTATTTGTACAATGCAGTTTCACTGTACGGTGTAATGAAGGGCACTCTCGACAGCTGGGGTTCTTCCTGTATACTGTGTTACTCTATCCAAATTCTTTGTGAATTGCCGTATTTGTAACGCCTCAAACTGGTCCGAAGTCTACGTCATCCAAAACCCATAACCAAAATTCAACGAATCCATCGGTCTGAATGCATTTCAACATTTCAAAAGTCTGACAACCGCAACTTTTAAAGAAAACTCCATTTACCCTCCAAAAAGTGCAAATCTAGCCTTACTTTCAGATCATAGAATTTAACACGTGGCTGGCTTTACCATAGGCTATTTAAACTTTCATGATAGCCCATGGCAGCAACATTTGGGGGTTTGGAAATACAAGCTAGTTACAGCATCAAAACTTTATTTAAGAATTGTCTATCCAAACAAGAGCGTTGTTGGCTAGGCTTTATGGTTATAACGATTGTTTTAATCATTCATTTGAAATTTCTTTTTCTCAGGCTTTTTCTTCCATAACGCCTTTAATTCTCTGTAAAGCATCCACGTGTCCGGCTGTGATTCTCTCAGAAGAATAGGGGAACAGTTTAGATACACGAAATCGACTACGTTCCCTAAATACCACACCTGTCCCATCACTTGTATCACTACAGTAGTAGAATAACTCCCCTGGAAATAATAACAACAGGTTCAATCATGCTGTGAATAAATGTTGCTGACGAAATACTGATCGTATAAGTCTGATCCATCCCTCTCATAGCTATTCAAAAAGCTCGTATGTTGTATGTACTGTAGATGTGCCGATCACTGTCAATATATGGACAAAAATATTTGCATTTTGAAGTTCTGTTTGGTGAGATACGCATTTCTGAAAGCTGCTCTTTTGGCTAATGAAGTGAATGCTTTTATGCAGTCATTTTCAAAACAAGAACGGTACTGACTTAATTTTCTTCAATTAAAGTTGATGTTTTCAAGTATACATTGTCAAAACACATTTCTTTGCATGTTTAACGGTACTTTCGGACTTCTACTCCGTGTTACGTTTTGCCCAATGAGACTTCCAATATGAAACAAGGCCTTAGACCTGTAGACGAATTATCTAATTTGAGATATTATTTTAAAAGTAAATAACTTCACTATGACAAAAATAGCCGTCACATATTATAAAAATATTAAAACGGTGTCGTATAACTGTATAGGCCTCAGAACATTCTGTCACATAATTCGAAGAAAACCCCATAAAAGCGGCAGCAACGGTTTGCTTAACTCACTTTGATAAAGTATTTTCAGCACCATTGCTTAACTCACTTTCAAAAAGATTTTTTAGCGATCAGCAACGGCTGATTGTGCGACCAGCGTGTAAATTACAAATATCACAGGCTTTTGATAACCAAAAAGTTGAGTGAAAGTCCCGTCTTACAAAACACGATGTGATGACATTCAGCGTAAGTTTTTGATGAAAAATATCATGCATGCTCCCAAAAGCGGACAAGTCTTTCGATCTCAGCCCGTGACTAACATGTTACAGAGAAATATTAACGTATGTGAATATTTTTATAAAGACCGAGAAAATGAAATCTTTCATCTCAAGTTTGCCTATGCCTATTTGCCTCGCCTCGCCCTGCACTAGGGATCAACTGGAAACGAAGACAGCATGAAGAAGAATTTGATGAGAAAAACAAAAACAATGCTTTTAAAATGTTTATATTTTTGTCCCCGTGTCATAACACGTATAATATTTGTCATCATTTCGTCATTGTGAACGATGTTCATGTATAAGTATGTTACAGAATTTGCAGAATCGATCAAATTCTTTTATAATCACTACGTATTTGGTCTATAGCCTTGATGTTAATCTAGAACACTGTGCTCTAGGTCTTCAAATTCAAGTAAAAATTGACAATAGACAGGTTAAAACGAAAACTATCTGAAATTCTAGATGCAACCTACCTTGTAACATTCCCATCAAGCTTGAAATGTTGTGTTTTATAGTAGTTTTGGCTGGGAACAACGTGAGATAGTCATCGAAGAAGGTTGGGAATGGAAAGCCAGGGTAATGTGTGTAAGTTGTCCATGTTACACTCTCAGATCCATCCTGATGTCGCCTGTGATCCTTTGGGATTGTTCTTAACCTAATGACACAAATGCAACATTTAACATATATCTAGAATGTACACTGTATAGCATGGTGCGCATAATGTTTTTGTTTTGTGTTACTTCACTTGCAAAGAAAAATCTTTTTATAGACATTTTTAACTAAAATCCATGATGATGGACAAACCCTAACCTTTGTGAATTCAGGTACGAGGATCTAAGGAAAGAGATGAAAATATATGAAAATCAATCAAGTTTCACTTTACATTGAAAACCAATAACTATAAAAATGGGTAAATAGCTGAAGCTAAATGAATTATTTCTCATTGTTTTATTTATTCTAAAATAAAATGCCTTTATCTGAATTCGGACAGCATTCTTTTTGATCCTTCCGGTTGTGAATAGCTTTGATAACTCGCTATCTCCCTTTCTTATAGCCCCTTTATACAGAGAAGTCAGACGTTCAAGAAACTGCATTGGTTGGGATTCTAATGTAGCCTTTGTTGTGAGTAGAGTTAAAAAAGCAAGGGTGTCACAATCAACATAAGTAGAATTAAGACAACTATCATTGCGCGAAGTGAGAGGGAGTTGAAGGAAGACAAGAGGCAACAAAAGGTGAAAAGGATGAAAAAGAAAATTGATCATCTGAGCTCTGACATGAATGCTTGGACCTTGAAAGCACAAGGCATACGTGTCTCAAGCTACATTACTTACAGTGGAATTTGCTGGAATAAAATTCAAAGCCACAAAAGTTGCAAGTGGGTACCAGTATTTGAAATTTATTCCAAACGTCATCATCAAAAGCAATATCAGTAGATTCCCAAACTTGAAGAGGACGATAATCTATGAGGAAAAATATTTGTACACTTCAGATGACTTTAAGGCAGCCACACGCCAACAAAGAAGCTCAAAAATAGTAGCATAAGCGTTTGTCATCAGAAGTCACAGAGAGAAATTCTTCGTGACACAACTTTTGACAAAAACACGCTGTTGACAACTGCAGAAGGAAAGAGTCTTATTAGCAAGTATCTTGCTCAGAATATTCACTCTCTTGATATCAGGAGAGATATTACTATTGATAGTGAATTCATTATCAGAAAATGTCAGGGTACAAGTGAATGTGAGTGCAAGTCCTCAGCAGTGCCACCTAGATGTATTTTCACTCCTAATGGACAAGAAAGAACTGAGAGACTAAACACCATTCTACAGAGAAAGGGAGAAGCTGAACTATCACAAGTAGACTAGTCGAGGGCCAGATGGACTTATGTGAAGATGATGCCATAGTTGCCATACGTTCATCTGGCGATATACAAGGGTCGATCCAGATATTCTGATAAAAATGCTCTAATTTTTTTTATTTTTGGGAGTTATAACATCAAAATTGCACAAAATGAGGATAATTTAATTGCTCAAAAAATATGTAAGTTTAGTCAACATACGGGCACTAATGTGTTGCTAGGGTAAAAATTGGTAACCATGGAAATGGGACCAGTAGCTTTTCTGTCTCTTCATATTTTGTCTTTACGTGTAATTGTCCATATGTTGACGCTTGCTCGAACCTAGAAGAATGAAATTGGAAAATACATCAATAAAGTGGATGTCGTACTTCAAAACCCAGCTGGTAAGATTGATGTGTATAGCATCACATCTATTTTGGAGCTTATTGTGGAAAAAGCCAACATTTCGAATGGAACGCTCATTCTTCCACTAGTTTTATGCTTGGGAGGAAATGACTTTATGCCCAAACTTCACAATCAGAGTCATTCAAAGATTTTTAAGCACTTCTTGGAAAATGCTAACATCAATCAAAATCTATTTGATGTGAATCTCAATGAAGGACAATAACAATGGATATTGACACCTATAAGGCTCTTATCAAGACTCTTCCTTGTCCAAAAGCGTATGACTGCCAGAAATTAAGTTTCGAAGATGTCAGATGGCTGAGTATCATGGGAATAAAAACAACAAAGGAAGCCAAGGACACCCAATGTTGGATGCCTCCAGAATGAGCACTTTGTCGGCTTTGTTCTTTGATGAATCTCCAATTGAATACCTAATAACAATAGGAAGACAAATTGCAGAAATGCCAAAGTTTTTACAGCATGTTTCACTTCAACAGGAGAGATTGGGTATGACCTTGGTCCTGATGTGTCAATAGGGGATGTTGCATCTATGGTAACAATGCACTCTGCATCTGATTTTGCTCGAAAGATCAAACACGCAAAATTCATAAACTATTCAAAAGCAACAAAAGCGAAGATTGGCTAATACCCCAAGATCAGGGCGGGGAAGAAAAATAGGTTGCAGTTAAGAAATAATAGGGAATAAAATGGCAATACACATCAAAACATTGGTCAACATAACAAATAAAAGCATATATGGTAATGAATTAACACCTATAAAACGTTTAAATCTTCCTATTTTAAACATATTCTCAGGAGAAACCTAGTTCTAGATGTCAACTAAACGATTCTACAAAGAGGAAACAATATCACTTAAATCCAGCCTGCCAGTACTACCAGTTTATGGACACTTCCAGCCTAACAGGATAATATTTCCAATAATATCTAACACTGTGATTTTTTACATGAAGTTTCATTTGAATGACAGTAAAAATCTATATATTTACCCAAGCCACTATAAAAGAATCAAGATATTTTTAGAATATTACATGTTTTTGCAAGTTTTGTGAAATGGGGTCGACTTGATTTATAATGCGTAACCTGCAAGCAAATGACAAGTTTACTTGGGAATTCCATAAGCATAATTTATCAAAAAGAAAATCATAACAAAAAAGTTATATGAAGACCATTATAGCCCAAAATGTTTGAACCTCAGTAACGTTTCGTTCAGGGTATTCCCAGGGATCGCTGAATTCATTCATAAAGTCCCTCAGCTCAACGTTTGGATTTTCTTCTCATTGTGATATGAACGATTACATAGCTTTTCAACGATGTCTTTGAGCTAATTTTTATTTAAATTCCATTTGCAGTCTATGACTGGATCTGTAATATTCAATATGCCTTCGCGAAACGCAATTCGTTGGAAAAGATAAAGGAAAGCAAAACTAAGCAATGCCCGAGAATATTAAAGAAAATGTAGGACATGCAATGCAAAAAAGTGCACTCCCCTCGGAAATATATCGCCAACCGACTAGCAAAAAGAAACCAGAAACATAGAAATGCACACTTCGAGAATGGAGGCAACAAAGCGAGATTGATTTTTTAAAGGTTCTCTTTCTCGAAAAACAAAAATGGGGTTATTAACTGAAATTTAAACTTCCATTACTTCAAAAAACCGAAAAATCACAGGATAGAAGGGTTTGCGCTGAGAGCTATGTTATCAGAAACCGTTGAAGTCTGGCAAAAAAAGAAATTCGTTCTCTGAAGCAGAAACCGGCGACTAAACTCAGCTCGAACGAAGCAAAACATAACTATGTATAATAACGTTTTCAGTGGCCATGGAGAATGTTTTTGTGGTGGGATCGGGGCAAAGATGAAGCGCTCCGTAGACAATGCTGCCAAGAGAAAATTTCATGTCAATGCTTTGGCTACGTGAGACTCAAACAGGTCATCAATATCATTCTTATATCTTTCAAAGGATAACATACAATCAAGTAGAGATGCCATTAGCAGCTTTTAAATCAAAATGACGCTCTTTAGATTTGAAATCTTTAAAAGTGACTTTTCTGATACATGCTGTTCAGTCCAATGCCGTTAACGTCATTTGGAATAAACATAGAATATTCATCAACCAGCTTTTGAAAAAAACGTTTTCTCTCAAATTTATGAAGAGAATGCGAATCGGAAATACTTGGCGAATAACTGGTTTTATCTTTAAAAATACATAGTCAATAGTGCATACTGAACGAGAATTCAATGTACAGGGTGTCAAATAAGTCTGTTCTCCCCCCTTAACTTTTTCAATTCAGAAATTATATAGGGTTCGCAGATATCATCTTAAAGGGAATTTAATTTGCTGATCACACACCAAATTTCAGAGTGATTGGTTAAATTCCAAATTTTTTAGAGTATTTTTAGTGATGTCCATATTTCACTTTTTTAATAGTCTGTATGTCTCCCCCAGCAGCCCAGATGGCCTCAATTCTACGAGGATATGATCCTGTATAAATCATTCAGAACATTTGATTTTGCCTGTAATCAACTATTTTGTGATGAAAGATGTCCCTGCTTCTAAGCTCCCCTGAATGTAACACATTTTACTCTGTAACGATATTGAAAAACATCGAAATCACCCAATGTTGGCATTGTCACTGCAGTATCAACTTTTCACTTTTCGTTCGCTATAACTGGAAATTTTACTTGTTTTGATGTAATCAAAGGTCAACGACAACCTTACATGAAACATTGTGGCAATTTTATTAGAAGGAGTTTATGATTGATTTTTTGAGGGTGATCAGCATTTTCCATAAGCTTCAAAATGATATATGGGAAAGTATGATCAATTTAAAGATAAAAAAGTTAAGGGGGGAGAACAGACTTATTTGACACCCTGTACTATATGAATATTTATCAAAGAGAGCAACAGCCATCACTGCACTTTCTAGAGTATTGGAAACAATATAATATCAATATTTTAAGAATTTCAATTTTATTGGCATCAGGTTCCAACTATAACTTTGCCTTGATTTTTACGCCAAAGGTGGCTTATATCTGTGGCTCATGGCTTAAAAAATAACAGAGACACAAAAATCGAGGAGGTCAGGGTTAAGGCGTGCCCTGATTAGAAAATTAACAACTGCTGTACATAACATTTGCAAACAAAAACGCGATGTATATTACAGGGCTACACAAAAATGCAACCCACCTTACATTGCATAACTTGTTTGTCAATTAACATATAGACTTGTTCTTTGGCATTTAAAGTAGACATAATGCGAAAGCATCTCAAGAAATTTCAGATGTGTAGCTCAAGTGGATCTTTTATGAGCGTTACAAGATTCGATCAGAAAATCGCTCATCCCTTTGCAGGCACATTTGTGTTCTACACAAAAATGCCACCCAACTTTTGTAACATAACTTGTTCTTTTTACTTATACTTATTAAATACTAACGATTTTTGCTTGTGCTTTCAGGGAATAAAATCCAGGTGTACCTGTAAAGGAATAATCAACACATCTTGTAACGCTCATAAACCTGCATTTATTAGAGCTACTCATCTGAAACTTCTTGTGGAGTTGCACCATGGATGCTACTTTTAATGCATGTTAGACTTTTTGCCAACAAAAAAGTTATGCAACATTATGTGGGTGGGTGGCATTTTTTGTCACCCAGTATCATCATTTCTCAACCTTCGAATCAATCAACATAAATTACATACACAAGGCACCACCTAGTTGCTTACAATATTATTAGTTCAATGTTAAGTCAGATTTGAATATCTGAGAACTATGTGGATGATTTTGAAAAAATTGTCAATTTTTTGACCCTGAGAAGATCAAGATCAGATTTGAACTTCTGAGAACTTGTTATGTAGATGATTTTGAAAAAATGGTCAATTTGAAGCAAGTTGAAAAACACCTTTTTGATCTTGAGATGGGCAATAAAGGTCAAATCTTTTTTGACCTTAATTATGTCATTGAAGGTCAAATCTATAGTCAGATTTGAACATTTGAGAACTTGTGGATAATTTTGAGAAAAAAAATTGGTCAATTTGAAGCAAGTTGAAAAATACCTTTTTGACCTTTCTTTGACGTTGAGAAGATCATTGAAGGTCAAATCTTAGATATAAAGTCAGATTTGAACTTCTGATAACGTAACAAATACTGTTTCAACTTTTTTCCGAATCATCTAAAAGTTTTCAGAAGTTCAAATTTGAAATCACAATTAACTAATTGAAAAAATAGCTAAATGAATAGGACATTAACCACTGGAATAATTCTCGATCCAAAACCCCAACTTCTGGGTGTATTTGTTCTTGTAAACTAATATCACTTTTACAATACATACGTGTAGTTGTGAATGGTTTCCATGTTGTTAGCTGTTGTCATAAAAGCATAGACCTCATTTGCCGTTACACCGTTGATTACAACACTGTAATCAATCTCAAATTCATTTTTCAAATATACTGCCAATGCTATAAAAATGAATAAAATTGATGTTAATCCTGTGAAAACTGAACAAAATGATATCATTTTGCTGAATGAATCCCAGCGTTGAAGTAGCAGTTACACCTCTTACTGTATTATCTGATTGAAAGAGTTTTAACATCAAAGAAACTTATTTTGACAGTTGACAAGTAAACAATTGCTCATAACATTTGCGAATATGTATAAGATGACGAACACAAGCAAGTGTAGAATGTTTTTTATTTGGAAACGGGCCATATCCTTAAAGGGAACACCCCAAAACATGAGGTATATGGGTTATATTTGCGAATATGTATAAGATGACGAACACAAGCAAGTGTAGAATGTTTTTTATTTGGAAACGGGCCATATCCTTAAAGGGAACACCCCAAAACATGAGGTATATGGGTTATATTACTTGTTATTTTGTAAATCCCAAACCTTGATCAAAATTAGCATATTTCACAAATTAGGGAAGTGTCTGAATAGCAATGTACATATGGTAAACCATTAATGATTTTGATGACCTTTGTGTATAAATTAGTTGTTACCGAAGCAACATAACTCAATTTATTTTAAACATAAAAGTACTTACTGTGAAATTTTTTTTACTCAATTTCTAAGGGTCCCCCTAAGCCCTTAAAGTTTGACAGTCTAATTATTTGAACAAGTACATTTTAGACAATATGATGTTTTGGTATTATTATAACAATGTCCCAATCGGGGGGGGGGGCTGTCCTCTGGGGTTCGAATGTGACCTTAGATTTGGGATTAGACCTCTGGTTGACATTCATTGACCTTCTTGACGTAAATCAACTTTAATTTTTTATTAAAATTTAGGTCAGATAGATTACTTATGACCTACTTAGCTTAATTTTTAAGGTCAAGGTCATCAAAGTTCACAAATGCTGTTTTCTAAGTTTCTCAAAATTGAAGACCACAAATCAATAGTTTAAGTTGAAAGAGAGGATAGAGGTAAAGGTTTTACACATATTAGCAATTAGGCCTAGCTATCTTTAAGAGCTCAACATCTGAAAAGGTCAAATGTTTTTTAACATCATCTATAAGTTGCCAGTAATTCATATTTGACCTTCAACTTGAGATATGACATTCAAATTCTCAAAAATACCTACAGGGCCTCCGTAAGATTGCTTCCAATCTTAAATGTCTAGTCATAATGGTTCAAAATTAACATCACTTAAAGTCATTTCTTCAATTTTAACACTGTCCGTACACAGGATCCATTAGCAGGATCACATTTATGAAAGTTCAGTTGACGACCCCAACACCTTCACATTACCTAGAGTTCTGGTACCATCACAAGGAATACCACTGGAATGACCATGAAATTGCAAACTCAGCTCTTTATACAATATAAATATACAAGCTCAATATACAATGGGCAAACCAGGACATAGGTTCTGAATAACCCAATTTCTGCTCTCTTAGGCAATAAACCACACTTGCAATGTTTGTTTCTGAGAGGTCTTGGCTTTTGTTTCACCTGCTGGAGTAAGATCCAACGATGTGGCTTCCACAGAACACAGAATCCAGATGCATGGCCTACCGATCCAAGTTATATCTACTGTCAGAATTTGTGTCAAGACCTGCAGTCTGTAAACGTTACATTATTAACAAAATGAAAATACAGATCAAGTGGGATTTTGAAGCAGTGAGACGGGAAGCAAGGAGAAAACCACAGAAATTAAGAAGACTGGTGAAAAAAGAAGGAAAATGAAACAGAAAAAGTATTACAAGATCTATAGAAGACAGTGTAGGAAGAATGCAGCTAACCAAAAAGGAGAAACCAACAAGCAAACATGTCCAGAGGAAAACTAGACACGAACATCAATACGTCCAGTGTTGTCCAGAGTTCAAACATGCAGAGCAATATGTTGTGAAGCAAGTTGTCTTGAATCAGTCTCCACCTCTTACAAAAGTCAAAGAGAATGGTGTGGTCGAAGAACATCAATTGAATTAAAATATTAATGAATATGGGATACACATGATCTTCACTGCCCTCCATTAGTTTTGCAACTGGTTTTGTAAGTTCCCATTTTGATCATTTGCCGAAGCCTGTTTATGTTGGTGATTTAAACTATTATCACTTCTGATAGTGCTATATTGTTGAAATCTTGTTTTAAGTGGGTGGATGGTACCAAAATTTATGTCATTAAAGTTGCAATAGATCCATAAATGTTGAAATTAAATTGGAATTATGAAATTATGGGCAGTTGAGATCAGAAAAAATATACCGGGTAGGTTTTGACCTTATTTGGTGAAAATAAGCGCTTCATATTTTATGTATATACATCTGTTCAGTGTTAAATAATAATTATTGTCATGATATTTTGCCTTGCAGACTGAAGGAGAGCTCACTCCTTATCTGGGTTCAAAGCATGGGGACCCCCATCTTAAGTTGTATTTGCTGAACATGAAGCTGATAAGATGATGTACATTAGGCTGTTTATATAGCCTAGTAGAAACTCTATCAGACTCAATGAACATCAATGATGCAGAATATCGACAATTATCCCAAAACATTTGCAACAATATTTAGAAAAGAATGATGAAAGGTGTAGAAACTGATAGGATCTGAGAAGGTAAAAGCAATGTAAGACAGCTAATATATACCTGCTAATCCAAAGGCTATTGTCTAAATGGTGTACTGGATTTGCAAGTTTTACTGCATAGCCATATTTTTTACATTTGCCATCAAAGAATAAATGCCATATGTATCAGTTCATACAGTTTGTACATTTGACCAACATGGAAAAATACATGAGCTTAAAACTAAATATGATTATGAGAGTCTTTGTAAAATTCAGGGTACTCGTGTATTAAAACGAGATCCTTTAAGGTGCTATGGAAGTAAACAGGAAATGACAAAACAGGAAGTGACAATTTTTTTGCATTTTTAGACATTTTTTGAACAAAGATAACAGAGTTCTGTTTTGACCTCCAGTCAATTCAACTAGTTCCAAATACCATTTACAGGTCCAGGATCACACTGTTCATGGTCAGAATGACCCTAAACATGATGAAATAACCTTTTCAGCCCTATGAAAATGTGACTGAAAAATAGCTAAAAGTAGGAGGGTAGGAAAGGTCACTGAACAGAATCTTTTGAATTTTTCAGAAAATGTGCCCAATATATTGCTCTAAATGATACCCCTAGGGTCTTCACTCGTGACTATTTAAAGCATGTTGACTATTCAATCAATTGATATATCTAAACATCATTGAGGTGGGACACAGAGGGCAACATATTGAAAACACAAATCATAAAATAACCCCTAAAAACGTAATATATCGATGAATCTTAATATAGGTGTTCTTAGCAATAGTACCATGATCACCTCAGTTAGTATACAGTAGGTTTAACCTAGGTATTCGATTTAGAGGATATATTCAAACATCAGTTTTAAAGGTAGGATGCAAGGCAACTTATTGAGAACACAAAAGCTAGGTATTCAATTCAAATGTTACAAATCTAGTTGTGACTTTCCAATATATGAAATATTTATGTGGCATTTTCAAAGAATATTAATAAAAGGTGATTGACTCTCTAATCTTATTAGCATTGTTTTTCAAAATAACTAATTTGCATAAAATAAGCAGGTGATGGTCTCAGCTGAAACTTATACAGTCTTGGATATAAACTTTTGAAGCTTAAAGCCTTTTAAAAGACTCGTCGTTGCTATCAAACAAGGGGAGGAATTTTTAATTTATCTATTGTGTAAGTTACATAATCATTATGAAATAAAATATTTTAGTGTGACTAAGAATGACAACTATCTTACAAGCAGTGTCCCTTTAATGACTAAATGGATTCAGTCTCTCAGTAATTATCATCTTTTGTGGCAGGCGTCAAAATAGATTGTCCCTTTTGTTTCTTTTGGTGAGAACTACCTTACAAGCAGTGTCCCTTTAAATGGCTAAATGTAAATTGATTCAGTCCCTCAGCAATATATCATCTTTAGATGCATGCATGAATGATGGATCAAAAGTAGATTGACCCCATAAGTTTCTTTAGATGAGAACTTCCTTACAAGCTGCCAGTGTCCCTTTAAATGGGTAAATGGATAATGATTCAGTCCCTTGGGAATATACCTTCAGGGGCAGACATAACTGATGAATCAAAAATAGATTGACCCTTTTGATTCTTTGTTTAAAATATTTTTTTGTGTTCATTAGGATGAGAACTACCTTAAAAGCAGAGTCCCTTTAATGACTAAATGAATATTAATTCAGTCCCTCTACAATGTATATCATCTTCAGAGGCAGGCATGACTGATAAATCAAAACTAGATTGACCCAACTGATTCTTGCTTGATAGTTTGTAGCCTTGATGACAGGCAGATCCAATATGGCCTCCTTATTCGAACTAAAATTTATGGTATACTTTCACATTGTGTATCTTCTGCAGACAGGACCCTCTCTTATTTCATGTTTGAATTATGCAATAATGTTGAAGCTTCGAGCTTTGTTGTTTAAATAGCTCTGTGGGTTCTTCATAAAATAATATGGATTGGTCTTGTAATGTATAAAAGACAAGATTAACACAGAATTAATATACTCATAGAACTATACTTTATTCCAAGTAAAAGACTAAACATGTACAATTACACTCTTCAGTATAAAATAAAACTGTTCAAAGATAAAGAAAGAATGAGAATGAGATTAATAAGATGAAAATAAATGATGTGTGATGTTCCCCCCGATCTAACTCTCTACTGAATGAAGCCCAAAATATCTCTTAAATACCCCCAAGTTATAGGAAATGAAAGGCAATCCCTTACCCTACAAAACCTATAAGAAACCCATTGAAAGATGGCAGCACAATACGGTGAATCAACATGAAAAATGCTATACAACCCCCACCCAAATAAAATGACAATTCTCCTGACATTGTACGTACTAAAAAACTGAAAATATGCAAAATCTAAATAAATGTATATGATATTTTAACAATGTCCTATATGAATGTTTACTAACACAGTGCCGCATACATAGTTCGTGTATAATCCATATCCATATCCAATATCCATATGAAATATCCACGCAGAGTTCGTGCAAATATCCTTGCTTCATACGTAGTTCCTGTTGATAAACGTCATTATAATAAACCATAATAAGTTCCGATTTTATAATCCGCGTATCTAGTCCTGGATCCAATGCGATGCTGTAATACGTGCATCTAGTCCACGATGTAATATTTTCGAATCCAAAATATGCACCGTCTTAGTAGTCGAAATAATATCCATAATCCGTATATCACATGCACGTCCGCATCGTGTCCATTATCGAATATGTCCGTATCCTCGCTGAAGAATCCATTATAAAATATCCATTTCCTTGTAGCAGTGTTCATAATAAACGTTTTCGTTGGAGAAAAGAATTGTTTATAATAACAGGAGATCGTACATCTTCAGCTCCTTCATCAGTTGTCGAAATCCTCTGTGGCTCCACTCCATCCGAAATCCGCGTCGTCTGCATCTCCATAAGACATAGGCATCGCCTTCACAGGTCATCTTCATCGCTTCTTCACGGTTAGGTAGTCGTCATCTACTTCAGGTCGTCATAGGAAATCGCTTACTGGGATCCCGGGCAATTAATTTTTTAATTCTCAAAAAGTTCTCCAAAAGTGTCTTTAAGAAACATTTTTTATTAACATGTCTTTAACTTGCTTTTCTATGTGACATAAACAAGTCTTCTTCGTGTTCTAAACTCTTCATGAATTTAATTTTCTTCAAGACATCAATTTCTTTTCATTGACAAGTAACTAGTCTTTCTATCTCTTCAACATACAAACTTTTCACTTGACTTGTCTTTCATGACTGAGCGTTTTTCAACTCTTCAACTCTTCAACTTCAACTCTTCATGAAATTATTTACATTTTCTCTCTATTCTTCAAAATGATCTCTGATTGTTACTTGTGAAACTTGTCTTTATCTTCAAAATGCACTGAGTGGTTAGTCTTTTAAAATAAAAGATGCAAATTGCTTACGAACAGTAAGAAAGAATATAAATATGGCTTAACATGTTTTCCATAATAGGCAGGACAAATTCCAAAAAGTAATAACACAATTATACATATCTAGCGATTTAACATTAACATCAATAATGCAACATGGGTTTCAGACTCTGCCAAGATTACTAAAACCTTTTCATCAGGTCGCCCCCTCTTGCTAGGACTTTGTTTCCGAAAGTAAATCAGTAACACCTCAGTGCACAATAGCATTTTACTTTGGATTTTCCAAAGAATTCTATATTTTCATACTTAGCGCTATGTATTGTACAAATACAAACAAATTGCTATATTCAAATATAAATGACTAATCTCTCATGTATTCATTTCACTAAACCTGATGATTGATGGCTGTCATAACAAAATCTCGTCGTAGGATCCACAGTTTGTACTTTCTTACAAAACTGAGAAAACCACTTGCCTGGGCTTCAATTCAATTCTCTATTGAACCCTAAATTTGACAATTTATGATCGTCATCATAATATTATCCAGTTGCCGCTCAGGAAATAACCATAATATTTCGAGCATGTACATGGCAAAATCTCATAACAAATGGTGTGGAATAAAACAATAAAATGCAAAATCAGAAACTTAAAGACAAGATATCCCAAAGATAATATAATCCCGTCCAGCAGGAATATGTTTCTTGATAGACTAAAATCATCATAATCTTATGATGCAATTTCCACAATACACAAACAGAAAAACATGCGATATACTTTTATGCTTTTCGCATCCTGAAAAGATACAACTTGCTCACTGTAAGTAATATTTAAAATTATTAGCCATTTGATTCCTCTTAAAGTCATAGCAAAATTATTCTCCAACCCTGGTTTATGAGGCCGAGTCTTAAAACAAAACTGCACTAATTCTACATAATACCGAGTAATTCCAACTAATGTTACTGTCAGTGCACGTGGGCTAACTGATACCTATGATTCAACTTAGATGCGATATCCAAGGATAAATACCAGTTATTCTACCCCACTGCTTTACATGTGGATCATTTGTTACCTATGATTCAACTTAGATGCGATATCCAAGAATAAGTAACAACCACACAACCTCGATTTAAAACAACATTGAACTCTTCTTCTAGCTAACTTATCAACTTAGATGCAATATCCAAGAACACATGACAAGAAGCCTAGTTCAAATCTCATAACTTAACAACAATGAATTCTCTTCGTCTAGCTAACTTATCAACTTAGATGCAATATCCAAGAACACATGACAAAAAGCCGACTTTACATCTCATCATTTAAGTACCATATAACTGCCAGGCCTTACTACACGAATGGAATATGAAATTCCATCATAATTTTCTATAACAAACCACCAGTCTCAAACTACCCCCTCCATTTTCATGGAATTTCATACCTCTTAATAAAACCTATGTGTATTTTCGACAAGCACACGTTTAATTACTGTAAAACATAAATTGTCTTCAGAAATCTCATTTTAAAAGTTACTTTTTCAATCTTCTCATTATCTTAAATGCTTACTTCTTATTGTTCACTCTTAATTGTTTACTTCTAATTACTTATTTCTAATTGTTTACTTCTTATTGTTACTTCTAATTGCTACTTCTAATTGCCCGGGCAACCACATATTACAAAAATGACAAATCTCATTCATCCATTCAGCGACACAAAACAAACATGCATTCTTGCCAAATACGGATGTTTGACTCTTTCTATGCATAATTAACGTATACATAATTAATTAAAAATGTTCTTCAATACTACAAAATGGTCCTGTTTTCATACTTGAAAGGCTTTACCTCCCCTGAACAATTCTTTTGCAAGTCATGTTTTCATCAACTAGCCATTAAAATATACCTATGCAATTCCATTAAGAGTTTGAAATAAAGGCTTTATCAAAATATAAAAATATCTCATGTTTGCAGCAGCGTATGCGTTATTAACTTTTACTTAACTCTGTATTATGTACCTTTTCGCTTTTAAATAATCACGAGATAAACAATGCTCATGCAGCACACATTTAACTAACTTTCTACTAACCGACTATCTACCTAACTACCTAACTAACCAACTAGCTAACTAAATATGTTCCCTTAAATTTACTTATACCAGAGACATATAAAATGTTTTATAGGTCTCTGCTTATACACACTATATACATTCTTTGACTAAACAATCAATTAATCCCATCCATATCTTGTAGGCCCTCTTCTATTTCTTGCATTTCAATATTGAAGCGAGACTACGCCTTAATAAACCATCCGACGATTTCTTTTCTTCATTTTGATTTTCAGGTGAAACCGTGATTTTGCCATCTGTGTCTTTCTCGTCATAGAGACTTACATTTTTATCTGACCAAATCAAATTAAAGTTTTCATTATTTTCGTCTTTCTCATCTTCATTTTCCCCGACGGCACCTAACACGACAGAACACCCATTTTCACATTGATCCTTCCCCTCCATATTCACAAGGTATCAACTTCTATTTAATGAATGAGCTATAATCTATACGTAATATCAAAACACAAACAGAATCAAGTACGCTTTTATCATCAATACAGGGATTTTTACAAAATACAAAGACCAAAAACTAGATCTCGAACATTCAAATCAAATATTCTCAATTCATAATTTCGTCTAACACCAATTCGGGACAATCCTAACACTATAGCCACAGCCAAACAAATAGATACGCGCTCGATTTTGCCAATTTTAAAGCAATGCGTCTTAGCATGCTCAATTGTAGAAATAAAGGATAGAAAGAAAGTAAAAGAAAGTGTTTTTGAAGTAACTAAAACAGGAGCCTGTTACATGAGCTTCTTGTTGATAGCAAATACAGAAATTAGTACAACGCTGAAATGCAAGCGTTTTCGTATTTCAATTTTAAAAGTAACTACAACGGGAGCCCGTCTTCATTACTAAATGATGATTCCCTTAACAATAGCACGTGTAAACATAAAATATTCTCGACTCTTTGTCTTCTCTTTGTTCACAAGATCAAGGTAAAGTTACGCATAAATTAACTGAGCGTACACAAAGGCGATCATTATCAGTCTTTTAAGTGAAGATCGTCAACTTAAATGCATGCATAAACAAACATTGTGCATAAAGACAAAGTTAATACTTAATAGTACAGTGAAGACAAATACTCTTCATTCAAAGTAAACTGAATATGAAGACAAAATCCTAAAGAAAGAGTTGAAGAGAACTAATCTTCACTCTTCAGTATAGAATGAACCTAACTTAAAAGAAAGAAACGAAGAGAACTAATCTCCGCTCTTTTGTAAGAGTAAAGCTAGATTGAAGATGCGAAGAGAACTAATCTCCACTCTTCAGTAAAAGTTAATCAAATTTAAAGATGTGAAGAGAACTAATCTCCACTCTTCAATGAAAATAAAAACACTAAAACTGCGAAAAGAATCTCTTTACAAGACAAAGACCAATCCCACCGCTGCCACCAATGAAGCTTCGAGCTTTGTTGTTTAAATAGCTCTGTGGGTTCTTCATAAAATAATATGGATTGGTCTTGTAATGTAAAAAGACAAGATTAACACAGAATTAATATACTCATAAAACTATACTTTATTCCAAGTAAAAGACTAAACATGTACAATTACACTCTTCAGTGTAAAATAAAACTGTTCAAAGATAAAGAAAGAATGAAAATGAGATTAATAAGATGAAAAGAAATGATGTGTGATGTTCCCCCCGATCTAACTCTCTCCTGAATGAAGCCCAAAATTTCTCTTAAATACCCCCAAGTTATAGGAAATGAAAGGCAATCCCTTACCCTACAAAACCTATAAGAAACCCATTGAAAGATGGCAGCACAATACGGTGAATCAACATGAAAAATGCTATAATGTCAACACTAAACTAGATTTTGGAAATTGAACGAAGTTCAATTTCAGACTCCAGATCTAGACGTTTTTTAGCCGAGTCATCCAGAATAAGCCGAGTCATCCAGAATAAGCTGAGTCATCTACAAGGAGATGGATAAATAAAATAGGAAGGTAGGATAGGATAGAATAGGAAAGAACGATAGGATAGAATAAGAAAGAAGGATAGGATAGAATAGAATAGGAAGAAAGGATAGGATAGGATAGGAAGGATAGGAAGGAAAAGATACGAAGAAAGGATAGAAAAGATACGAACAAAGGATAGAAAGGAAGGATAGGATAAGATCAGATAGGAAGGATGGATGAATTTTTCAACATTTTCTTCTCTACTCTTGACTTTCTATCAGGATACCATCAGATCGATTTTCGAAATTTCAAAACGCCATAACTTCCGAACCGGAAGTCGGATCGAAATTCGATTGAAAGATTCGGATTCCTGACAAAATTCTACCCCTAATTCATAACTCATACGTTAAATTTGGAGCTTTTTTATTTTGACCTACTTTTCGGACACGCCATAACTTCCGAACCGGAAGTCGGATCGAAATTTGGTTTGCAGATTCGGATTCCTGACAGAATTCTACTCTTAATTCATACTTCATATATTAAATTTGGAGAACTTTTT